CTCTCCGAGGATGGGCTCGCGCCCTCCACCCCGTGGTGGGGCGGCTTGTGGGGGTCGTAGAGCTCGAGGTGGATGTCGGGGTCGGGGTTCGTCTGAGCCTCCTTCAACTCCTTCGCCAATCGTACAATCGGACGGGGCATAATGAGCCGGAGGACGTGCTTCACAGGCGAAAAAGGCTTCCTAAATGTTGACGGAATCTATGATGTTTTCTATCGTGGCTTTAAAGGAATAGCAACTTGATTAGCAAATGGGAAGTATTTCAGTGAGGTTGCGAAAAAGGCACAAAAAATGATGAAGAAAAGGAAAAAGATAGAGAGGGTGGGGAAAAAAAGTAATCAGATTGTAAGGGAATATATATATATATAATGAAAATGACCTCAGAAAATATCAAGAAAAGTGAATGAAAAAAGATGTGTCAGCATATCTAGATAAACTACATTTGAGTCTTGTGGAGTAAACAAATAACGAAGAATTCCCATTTACTTTGATATAGACAAAATTAATTTGGCTAGTGAAGATCAAATAAACATTTGGAGGTTTCTCTACAGTATCTCTATCTTCTATTAAATTGCCCAAGATAAAAAGTCAAGGAGGGAGAGCAGACAAAAGGAAATTGATACGATAGACTTTTAAGAATAGCGATAAAAACATTTCAGAATACCTTCGTAGCAATCAAGTATCATTATGAAATTGAATAAATATCTGTTATTTTAAAATGAAATTATAAGAGTCCGATGAATCTGTCCAAAATGAATGATGCGTAAATAAAGTGAATCCTTTTTTTTTAATAATGCACTTCTAAATAAGACAACAGCGCGGAACTCGAAAAAGTGAAAAGGTTGGCAGGTCTAATTTTTACCTCGTCTATCAACGCTATAGAATGAAATCATGCCGCCTGCTTTTTAGAATACTAAATGACTACTTTTATATAGGGAATGAAAGCGTAGAGTGTGCAGCATCTTTGTTAACTTCACAGTAGTGCACATTGTGTGGTTAAGAAGAATTACCTTTTAGAATATAGTATCAATATCCCAATCATATGTTGTGCAGTTCATAAAATCACAGTACTGCGTCAGTAGAAAGCTGTGATAGATGTGTTAAAAGAGAGTAAATCTAAATATCCTGTAAGGCTCTTTAAGGTGAACACAGATGTGGTGCAGTTGTAACTACAGGCATAATTACTAATTATGGTGCGAATTGAAGCAAATGAAATGCTAGGACTGAATATATGATAGTTGAAATAAACAAAGTTCTTTCCATGAAAGAAGTCCTGAGTGAAAAAGAAGATTTAACTCAAAAAGCTGTTGCTCTAATGATAGAAAGATCAATGGAGGTTTTATCATATTGGTTTGCGAAACTATGAGTCAAAGAATGCCGATCAGTACAATGAGCCACCCTCGTATTGAAAGATAACTTATTGCTCATGCATTACAGCACGAGACTTTAGTGCCTTGATTTATGCTTAGATTGTACATAAAACTACATCCCTATTTAATATATTTATATATTTCTTTTATTTAGTAGTTCTTACCGGGAATTTATTAAACTCACCGAACATGACTTTATGTACGAATTTGAAGTCTCGTGGAAGCTAACAAAAAAAACTATATACAATTAATGTAGGCTTAATGGTTTAATATTTTTGAGAATCAGAGTAAAACGATATCCTTATTCACTTTGTATTTTGTAAATGTTATTGAATGAATCCATACAGTAAATATAAAAGAAAAGATCTATCAGATTTTCCCTGAAAAA